ATTAGTTTTCATGGTCAAATCCAGAGATCAGGTGGCCAATCTGAAAATAAATCAATACTGAATTTTTAAAAAATCATCAACATTTTGCGGGGCAAGGGGCGTGGCTGGCTTGATTGACAGTCTGCAGCAACCATACGGATGAAGCGAGCAGAAGGCGGTAAATGTGGGTGGGTGAGAGGGCCTGCCTCTCAATCCGTCTGACCAATCGCTGCTCCTTTGGCTCCGCCCTCCTCCGACGATTTTTGCCTCACTGGCTCCAAAAATCCAAAATGTCAACCAGGAAGTAGCAAAACCCTGGCTTCATTTTCTCAGTGCAGAAACACACGGGTGACTTCGGGTGAAGCTACGTCCATCTTTTATACAGTCTATGCTATATAAGGACTGCGCCCCCTAGTGTTTAACACTAGAAATGCATTTCATTACAGAAACTTTACCACAGTCACACAGTTAGGTCTTGTTTTTGTTTTTGTTTTCCTCCAAAAAAGTTCTGAGAACGTTCTGCAAAGTTCCTTTAATATTTTCAGTGGGAAGTTTTTTTTTCTTTCTTTTTTTTTTCAGTTACCAAAGTGTTCTTAAAGGTGTTGATAACTGTAGATGTTCTAAAAATGTTTGGCAATAACATTGTTAGAACTCTAATGTTCTCATACCTGAATGTTGCACTGAGAACGTTCTTCCTTTATTGTCATGTAACATAAGCTGTGTTCCTGATAACGTTCCTTCAATGCTAACATTAGAACATTATATTAACTTTATAGGAACGTTATTGCAAAAATGAAAACTTTGACAGAAACTTTTTCTTTAAAATATTACTGGGACTTTTAGTTAATAAAACTAAATGTTCACAATATGAATGAAAAGCCCCAAAATATATGTAAACGTCTAAAAATATACATGAAACGTTAAAAAATGTTAATAAAATAGAGGCTGAAACTGTCAGAGAGGAATAAAATGATTTTACAGCTGCTCTCTGTTGTAAAGCAGATGCTGCAGGCAGCTGAAGGTTTCTTTTACTTCTGCAACTCTTTGTGTCACTGCAGCAGCTTCAAGTCTCTTTAACATGTCACTGAGGACACGCGTGTCAGTGTTAGACCAAAGAATACCTACAAGTATTCTGAAAATGTCAAAAAAATATAATAGAATGTCCATGAATATTAATCAATATCCCCTCAAAAAAATTGGAGTTCAAAAATGTTAATAAATGTTCACAAATTAGAATAAAATGTCCAGAAATACAGATAAAATGGCCCAAAACATTTATGAAAGGTTTAAAAAAAAGTCCTGAGATATTAATACAATTTTCAAAAATATGAACA